ATTTAGGGAGATTATTTGATAATGGGGCAAGCCTCAATGCCCCAAGTAGGGATACAAAATCGTCACCACTGGCCATGGAAAGCCTGAAATAAGTGGGGATGATAAACAGTCCATAACTGGCACAATGTCAGCCTTTCATCCTTCAATACGGCTCTCAAATTTTAGGAATTGGAAAGAGGAAGGGGTAGGAAAGGTAAAGAAAAAAAAGGAAAAGATGGAGGAGAAAAGGCCATGCAAAATTAGTTGAGTCGGATGCTGAGGCTCAAGGTAGGGGTGACCCCCTATATTGAGCCTCAGTCCCCATCTCCTACCCCCCCCCCCACGACAACAACGGGCAAGGAATTGGGGGGGGGAGACCAACGGTTAATGGTTAAAAGCGAAATAAATGTGCTAGACATCTAAGGTCATATAGCACTATAGGAAGGTATAGTAAAGGGTAATGGCAAGTGATAGTTGCTATGCGTCAACTATCCAGAGTAATATTGAAAGGTTGAAGATGGGTAAGAGAGTTGATGAGGGAATGGGTTACGGTGGTTTAGGTAAGGGAATTAGATCAAGTGAAGGATATTTATGTGTCTAATGAAGAACAGGTTGTCAAGGCAGAAGTTGTAGGATTCTGTAAGGATGTCTGATATGTTGGGAGGTCGGTAAAGGGGGGATAGGTGGGGGAAAGCAGAGGTGCAGGCTGTAGTAAAGCATGGTTAGGACAACAGAATGTGTGGAACTGAAAGAGGGATATTACATAGGGGACATATGGGCGGGTCAGAACGTGACATTAGATAGGCGTGTGTTAGGCGAGTAAGCGTGCAAAGGCCGTATCCCGTCTGTTCTGGTGAAATGGAGCTGACCAAGAGCAGATTGATGGTTTTACAGTATGTAAATTATTATTGTGGAGGCTTGACCAGAAAGATTGCTATCGGGCATACAAGTAGGTTTTTCAGTGGGAGTGATAATTCGTAGCTGGAATATGTGAGAAGCGTGGTTGAGGCGATGTGTTAGCTTTTTCTTTAATATACAAGATATGGTCTTGCCAGGACAAATATAACGCCTAGGAATTTGCCAAAAGAACGGTATTGGAGTGGAGCGTTATATAAGAAGAGTGGGGGTTGGGGACTGATGTTATTGCAGACTGAAGGAATTGACGGAGATCTGATATGGATGTGCCAGATGCATAGATGGTTATGCCATCAACATATAGTGATGCTCGGGCTCCCGGTGATAGGAATGAGACAATGTCATTTACAGCAAGAAGGAATAAAGTGGTACTAAGTATGCTTCTTTGTGGGACGCCTTCGAATTGAGGAAAGGATGATGACGTGGAAGAGGCAATTTTGACCTGGAAAGTATGTTTGGAAAGGAAAGATTTTATGAAGACACCCAGTTTCCACGTAAACTAGGGAGGATAATTTTGGAGAATATGGTACTGCCATGTGGTATCATATGCTTTCTCTAGATCAAAGAATATGGCTAATATGGATTCATGGCGTGCAAATGCAGATGTAATATGTCTCAAAATGGGCAAGTGAGTCTGCTGTACTTCAGGCACGGCGGAAACCAAACTGGGAAGGGGAAAGGAGATTATGAGATTCAAGGTACCACATTAAACGGAAGTTAACCATTCGTTCTAGTAGTTTGCACAAGCAGCTAGTTAGAGCTATGGGCGGTAATCTTGGGGTAGGGTACCTGATTTATTGGGTTTTAAGAAAGGTAGGATAAGAGCATCTCGCCAATGAGAAGGAAAATTTCCTGACGTCCATATGTGGTTGAAAATAGTTAAAAGGAAGGATAGAGAGGAAGATGGGAGGTGTCGGAGCATACGATAGTGAATACCATCAGGGCCTTCATGAGTGTTGCGGCACGACTGTAATGCAGCGTTGAGTTCAGAAGAAAAGAAAAAGCATTATAGGACTCATCAGAGGATAGGGTGAAGGTGATAGGGGTGCGTTCCTTGATGGCTTTAATGGAAGAAAAGTGTGGGGAAAGGTGAGAGCCACTACTGACCTGGCTGAAATAGTCGCCCAGTTCATTAGCTACTTATAGGATCAGAGATGAGAGTATCTCGAATATGGAGGATGGGGGGGATGTTTGCCTGATAATTTATGGATCCGTCGCCAAACAGCTGAAATAGATGTAGATGTAATTGAGGAAACATAATTTTGCCAGCTATTTGTTTGCTGTTTTAATTGTACGGCGAAGATGGGCAGATGCTCTTTTAAAGGAAATAAGGGCTGATAGCTGGTGAGGGGTGCCTCGTTTGTAGCGATAGCTGTTCCAGGCTGCTCGTTTTAAGCGAAGCGCTTTGGGCAATCAGAATTCCACCATGGAACACATTTAGAGTATAGGTCTTGAAGTTCGAGGAATGGCTGTATAGGCAGCTCTTAGGATCGTGGTTGTAAAACAATGTAGCATATCTGAAATGGACGGTAAGGGGGTGGAGGGATAGGTATAGTAGAGAGTGAAGTGAAAGTATGCCAGTCAGCTCTATCAAAGCACCAGCGTGGGGGATTAGGAAGTGGTACATACGAAGTAGGAGAAAAGGAAGTCACAGGGGAAGTAGTCTAGAATTGGCCAATGGAAATCTAAATGAAGAGAAAGGAGCATAGAGAGAGGTCAAGGTATGAAAAGGATTGTGCGTGCAAATCAAAGTGTGTGGGGCGATCTGAATTAAGAATAATTAGGTTATTTGTGGAGAGGAAGCGTTCTAGAGATCGGCCTCGAGAGTTGGTGGTAGAGTCACCCCACAGAGTGTGGCGGCAGTTGAAATCACCAACTACGAGGAAAGGTGGTTGGAGTTGGGAAATTAGAGTTTCAAAGGCAACAAAGTCAATGGGATGGGATGGGGAGAAGTAGACTGAAATCACTGTGATCCAGCGGCAAAGAATGATACGAATAACTGCACGGGACAGTGGTTTTGTAAGGGACATAAGGTGTTTTATGATGGATAAGTATAGAGACATAAAGGGAGTGTGAGGAAGAGATAAAATGATAAATGGGAATTGGAATAGGAGGATGTGTAAGGAAAGTTTCTTGGTGGCAGATAATGGATGGATTACAAAAAGCAAGGATATGACGAAGATCTGGTCTGTGAGAACGGAAACCGCGAATATTCCAATGTAGGAGATATATAACGGTTATTTTATAAGTGATAGTGCCGGCACGTGTTGGGGAATCTGGGGGGGAAGGAACTAGAGGTGTGAAGGAGTGGTATCAGAAGGTGGGGGATTCACGTGTGTATGCAGGAAAGAGTGGAAAAGATAGAAGGGATGGAGAGAAGGAGTATGTGCGTATAGTTCAAGTTGAGGGGGGTGGGTTGTGTTGGGAGGAAGTGGTGTGTGTGTGTGTGGGGGGATATTAGTGGTAGGAGCATGGATATTGGAAAGATGGATAGTTGGAGTTAAAGGGGATGTGTTGTCTTGGGAGGGATTAAGAGGAAAGGGATGGATATCAGGAGGATGGATATCGGTGGTGGACAGATTTGAGGGGATTAGGTTGTGTTGAGAGATAGTAAGAGGAAGGGGTGTAGGGGGAATATGAGTAGGAGGGCTATGGATATCGGCAATCACTTCAAGTGTGGAGAGAGCATGAGATATGGAATTTTGTGTCTCAAGCATATAGCTTTGAATATCTTCCATAGTTTCTGCAGTGGAGTCGGTTGGAGAGTTTTGTGAAATGAAGGTTTTCTTATGTGGGCGGAAGAGGAGACTGGTGCCTGAGGAGTAAAGGTAAAGGTAGGTGGAGGTGAGTGTGCGGTAGGGGAAGAAGGGGTGGAACGTTTAGTTTGTCTACTGCGAGTAGTGCCGGGAGGGAGAGGAGATGGTGCTAGGGCTGTAGTTGAGATTGGGATGTCTGGATTTAGAGTAGCAAAAGAATTTGACTGGGGGAGGTAGAATGTAGAAAAGAAAGTGGGGAAGTATGTAGGTTTAGGGGAAGGTGTAGAAACATCTTGGGATGGAGAGGATTGGGCAGAGCGAGCGATATTACTAGAGTAGGGAGTATGAGAGAAACCTTATATCTGAGAGTTGCTACCTCAGACTCAACTTGTAAGTGGGACAGCCTCTATAAAATACATTATGGGGCTGCCGCAGTTAGCAAATGTACGTTTGTGCAGAGTAGTTTGATCGGTTATGACCGGGTTGGGTATCGGTCTGTGGTATCAGGTGGGGGATTAGAAAGGTGAGCCCAGACTAAATCCCAAACACTGCCGTAACTTGACGGCAGTCTTTGGCAGGATGTCCAAAGCGCCAAAAGTTTTGACATTGATGGGGAGGGGGTTGGTATGGTCGAACAGGGAGGGATTGTCCACCAATGTAGGTACGTACGGAAAGGTCATGTGCACGGAAAGTAATTTTGGAAATGTTGATCAGTTTCTTTCGATGACCTCTAGGAGGAATGGTGTAGCAATGTACTGATTTCACGTGTTGGTCTTGGAGGCATCCGAGTAAGTTTTCCCCGCAGTCTAACCTATCTTTGGTATCGACTGGGCAGTTTGCTGGGGAGAGACAGACAGTTCCAGTACAAGTATCAAGGGTTGGATGAGGTATTGCAGGAATGGGGTTGCCAGAGTGATCAGTTAGATTTGATAATGCTAAAAGTTTCTGATCTGACTGTTACAAGACGGGAGCGATCGCGTATGGTATAGAAAGTGTCTCGCGTATGGTATAGAAAGTGTTGCCTGAGTAAGGAGCTGTAGAAGGGAACACGAAAAATTGGTTCCATTTAGCTGGGCTAAATATAGTATTTAAGATGTTTGTTGGGTTGGTTGTGGTGCATGGTCGGGGACGTGTGGAAGAGGGAGTACTATGGAGAGATGGAGAATAAGGCTGTAAGGTAGTAATATGGGAGGATGGGGTGCTTGATGAAGGCTGTGATAAATTTGAGGAAGTTGGGAGGAATGTCTTCTGGAGATTGTCTCTGCTCTGAATTAGATACAAAGAATGAGTTGGTTAATTGTTCACCTACGTAAGATTTTGTATAATTTTAGATGTAAAAAAAACATACTATAAAAAATTATTTTTATTACAAAAAATGCTATACATGGAAAACATTTTCATAATATACATTTATAATGTAATATTTCGAGTAAAAGCAATCCTTAATACCAATATTTCATGAACCAATACTGCTTACATTAATTTAATTCAGAATGCATATTCAATACTGAATAGAGGAATATCTGGTTGATGAAGTGCTAAAATAAACAATTAAAAGAGAAGATAAGACGATGAAGTAAAAAGAAAGCTTGATACTAAGTATTCCTTCCTCTTGTCCAGATAATTGCAATTTGCTGTGAAAACCACGACACGAAAAAGACAAAAGATATTCAAATGATTGCATTTTCTAATATTTCCTCCTGTTGTTCTCCAATATTAGCATATAACTGAGACATAGGAAACTTGTATCAACTGCAAATAAATATAGGCAATGAATATTTGATAGCATTATCAGGAAACTAAAAAAATGATAATCATTGTTCAAAGAAAAATATACAGGATATAATACATATATCAAAGAATGGCTGGAAGATCATAATTCAAAACACACATGGCCAACTCAGTCTGTAGAATTTCTCTGTGTGAACTCCGAGGAGTACAAGCTTCAACATTACTTAAAATATTAGTTTGTGAGCGAGTGTTTCTAGTCTGTTGGGTTTTTGTACCTGTCATTCCAAGTGATTTTTTTCCTATTTTGTGGCAACCTACCCTTGGCGTGCATGCAGACCCTATAGAAATATTCTGGAGCAAGGACCGCCTTCTGGTTGATATGTCAGCACTTTTGTATGCTTCCTGAAGTCTCTTGAGACCAAAAGGTTGCAATTTTTTTCTTGAATGTGGCTTCGATTTCTGCAAACGTAACTTGACTGGCTGGAGTTCCTTGCATTCGTCTCTTAAGAGACGAAAAAGCTCACGAGATAGCTTAGGATTTGGTTTCTCATCAGAAAATTCTGGGGAGCTGTTATTTGTTTCCTTTCCAATGTGCTGACTTTTTACTTTTGGAGTGTTTTCCTCATCTGTTAAACAGTCACATCCTAATTTTCCATTGTACATCCCTAAAAGATGTGATGGATGGAAGCCCTTCCCCTGCATCTCTTTCCACTCATCTCCTGCAAGATTACTAAGCTCTCTACTAAGATAAGGCTTGGTCTTTGATTTTTTTACTAAATATTCTGTACTTCTTTCTAAGTTCATTTCATCCACAGGCTCTGACTGATATGGAACCGATTCTTTAGTCTGTGCAAGAGATTTCCAAGCAACATTAGTGTGTGTACTTAGAGGTTTTGTATTACTCAATAAGAATTTCCTATATTCTGTTTCTGATACATCAGTCAATAACACACTGTGTCCCTCTGTTGTTTCTCCCATACTACCATTAGTCTTTTTTTGTTTCCTGAACAGATTACCAGCCTTCACATCAGATGAATGGATATACTGGCAGGAACTAAGAGCACAATTATAGTCAGTTTGGAGTTCTTTATCAAAACTTCCTTGTATAGATGTTGAATGATATCCTGTCTGAAATTCCTTTTGGACAAGCATATGCAATTCTTTTGGCATATTAGATCTTGGTGAATTCTGACTCTTTTCTCTGTCCTCTACTTGCAGTACCTTCCTTATTAATGCAGGTTTGATAATTTTGAGAGGATGAAATCCTTTTCTTGAAATTTCCTTCCACTCATCATTTGCCAAATTGAGTAACTCTCTTGCACCTTTATATCTATTGCGATTAGTCTCTGATGCTGGTGCCTTTAATTTTGGTGTGTCTATTTTATCTACTTGCAAAGTTTTATTCTTATCCATACAAATTTCACGACCTACAGTATCCTTTAGATAATGGCAAATTTCACTGCCCCTGACAGTATCTAAGTTTAAACCTTTAATAATGTCCTTGTCTTTATCTAAAGCAATACTAATACCTGAATACGTTGGAGAATTCCCATTTTCATCTATACAATCATCTAAAATGTCAACATTCACAGGAGAAATATTTTTCATTCCACCTGGGAGAGCAATATCTGTAAACAATTTTTTGTCAACATTTTTTGATATGGGCTTAACTTCCAGCAAAGGAATACAGAAGTCTACTTTAGGCACATAATCTTTTTTACCTGAATGTGGGTCTGCTTTAGATAGATCTGTGGTTTCATTTCTATGTACGTTGGTTCTCTTTTTGGAATCAGTAGTATAAGCTTCCTGTGTTGATTTCTCTGCAAAATTTCTATTCAAGTATGGGGAGCTTCTAATGCTGTAATGCTTAAACCCACAAGCTCTTTTAATTTTTGTTTTATTTGGAATATATCTTTCCACAGACCTCCTTGTTAATCTAGCTTCTGGAATATTTAAATGTCGTAGCTCTCCTAGCCCTCTTTGCTGGAGTTCCCTACATTCATCCTTCAGAAGTTTATCCATTTCCCTACACTTTTTTCTTCCACTTGCAATTTTCTTTCCAGATTCATCCTCAGTCCTATTACTCCTAGATGTTTCCTTTAGTGTATTCATTGAGGACATGTTTTTGCACTTTAATTTTGTCTGTTTATCTCCAGGATTACAAATTTTGTCATTTATACTGCTACCAACCAAAGCTTTGAAGAATTCAACACCCTTATTCACTGTGTTTACAATATTACTAATAAAGCCCACAACAGGAGTTTCTACACTCTGTACATGCTTTTCCTGGGAATTCATACTAGCTTCCTTTGTTACAACCATTTCTTTTGAGACACCTTCCAACTCTACATTACTTTTTCTCTGTCTGCCACTTCCTTCAATATTCAAAGGTCTTTCAGTAATATTAAATGAAATATCCTCATCAACATGGAATGGAGGTTTAAAGCTAATTTCATCGTCAATTATTAATCCATGCGATCCCTGATCTATGGTGTCTTCATGTCTGAAGAAGTACTCTCCATCCAATACCTCTGGAACTATTGCTTCTTCTCCATGAATAACAGGAAAGCCTTTTTGTGTGCACATTCTAAATTGGGAGCTTTGTTGGGCTTCTACATTTTCATTCCTTACTTTCTCATATTCTGTTTTAGAGTTGGGGTGTGAATTGGCATATTTATGAGAAGTATCTAATATCAATATTTTTCTATCATTAGCAGTAAGGCTTTCATGTTTCCGTTTGCGGCTGTTGGGCTTCATTCCTGACTCACCAGAAACTACAGGTGGAGCAGCTAAAGGTAGGAACGCACTATCTGGGACGGGAGAAATGGATAAGTTGGGCGGGACATTTGGAGGCTGGCCATTGATCGCCAAGTCCCCTAGGCGTCCTGCTCCACAGTGGGACTCTTGTTTTGACGACCAATGGCTATTCCCATTTTTTGGCAGGGAATGTTTGGAAGAAAATGGTATTTTTGCACCAGAATGAGGGTAACAATTTAAACCATTCAGCTGTTGTGGTGCATTATCTGCTTCATTCTGCCTTCTACTCTTACCAGATTCATCATCATCACTTGAGAGATCAATTATTTCAATGGGTGTATTAGTTCTAGAAATACTAACACTTGCACTATTTATAGATAAAGAATCCTTACTATTTTCAAATATATGAGGCACGGACACAACACCTGATCTAACAGTTTGCATAACTCCAGTTTTGGTAACTGGATGAACATTAGTATTTTGGAATCTAGAGTCAGTGCTAAATTTAGATTCATTATTTTTAAATATTTTCACTACCTGTACTTCAGAATTAGAATTACACCACTCATCACTTAAATCCTTGACCACTTTTTTACTTTTTGTCTTAACATCACATAAGTCTTGTAGAACAGAGGAATTAATTTTTGCTGGTTTCACTTCCTGTAAATCCTTATTTTGATGGGAATGAGATCCATGTACTATGGCCATGTTATCAGTATCCTGATACAAAAATTGAAGGTCTTGATTCCATCTTCCTTTGGGCTGATGAGATAAAAAGATATCAGGTCCCTGATGAACAGCCTGCTGTTCATTTTCTTCCCTACCATGAGGAAACCTGTCTCCATATGTAAAAGCATATCTATGAGAATCTGCATACTGCAAACAATTGTCTGGTTGTCTAAGAGTTACTCTACTTCCATCTTGAAAAAGTGTATTTCTAGGTAACTGACTTGAAGTAGATGCCAGAGGGTTTGAGCATGCAGCTACAAAGGATGATGAAGCCCCTATATTCACTTCAGTCCTTGGTAATGTGCACTGCTCCAGCCAAGGCTCTTCAGAAACACTATTTACAAATGGAGTCTGTTGCTCTGTCATACTCTGAATTTCATCTGCCTGGTTAATATAAAGAGCTGTAGGTTGTCCTAGTCTTCTATAGCAGTCAAGCAAATTCTTCTGTAGCCTCTTTATTTTGATTCTACATGGCCGGCACTTCCTTAGCAAGTCTCGACTTCTTCTATCCAACCCTAAAAAAAGAAATATAAAGATAATGGTTAACTGCTGACACTACAAATAATGTAAATACATTACTGCCTTGAAATCAGAAGCAATCAATAAGTTCTGCACATAATTTCTTGATATCAAAAGGTTTCTTGGTTACTTCCTACTTACAAAAATTTGATTCACATTTGTAATAGTGAATGAGCTCTGAGTTACTATACTACTAGAGCACATCATCATCTAATAAAAGCACTCACCAGGATAGTACCTATTAACCATATGTCACCAGGGATGGCATGTGCATACATGCCATGACAACTATGTATTTAATCTAGTAATTGTTTTTACCTACAGATAGCTCCACAAGTACTTTGTCACCAATGAGCTAATTACACAAACTACCTGTCTCACCTGTTTACCCTTTTTCTAAATATTCAATATTTTCAGGTGATTAATATTGCTGTTGGTAATGTCAATAACAATATAGTATTTATGATGTTCCTGATAAAAATAACAGTATCAAAATCAAGGAAAAGTGAAATTAGGTGAGGTCATAAGGTCTACTAATCGACTTTGTGGCTAAGCACTGGCAGAGCCATCTGTGTAAAGAGACATTTCAAAGAAAAATACTAGTGAACACATTT